TCTCTCCCCCCCCCCGCCGCCGGCGCCCCCGCGCCGCGGCCGCCGTTTTCCTCGCCCCGTTTCTCTTGGCACCGCTCGGACGTGTGCATATCTTTTGTCGGCAAGGGCCAGCGAGGAACATGTTTGTTCACGCTGCGACAAAAATGCACGCACGAGACCGACAAATGCATGGGGAGTGGGCGTTCAAGCGATGGCGAGTTCTGCCCCGTGGGGGCCGGCCCAGCCTGCTTCCACTGTTCGGCCAGCGCGCGCGCGGGCCCGCCAGATCGACGAACGGCTGGCGGCCAGCGGCCGGGCCAAGCCCGCGACGACCGAAAGTGTGCGTGAGTGTGTGTGTGTGTGTGTCCGTTGTCTCCCCTTCACTTCGTCCCTTTCTTCTTCTCCTGTCGTCGTCGTCCCCTCCTCGCCGTGCTTTCTCCCCTCCAGGGACTCCAGGGTCCGTCCCGAAACACGGCTTCGCCGGATGGCCCGCCGTGGCCGCCCAGTTGCCACGGGTCCTCCATTTGTCTTTGTGTTGTGCCTCTTTCCCCTCTCTTGCCTCCCCCCTCGGCTGGCTCCTTCCCCTCTCCGTGGCTTGCCTTGCCCTTGTGGTGTGTGGTGCCTCCGCTTTTCCCTTTGGCCCCCCCCGTTACCGTCGGCCGGCCCGCGTCCTTGCGTCCGTCCGTCTCCTCCGTCGGCTGTCCGCTGTCGCTCCCTCTTTGCTCCTGCTCCGCTCCTTGCTTCCTTGCTTCCTTGCTTCTCCCTCCTTGCTCCCTGCTTCTCCCTCGCTCCTGCTCGGCCCTCCTCTCCCTCGTCCCGCGGCCCCCTCGTGGTCCACATGCGGGCCCTCTTGGCCGCGGCGCGCCGCTGCCCGCTGCCACTGCGCCCCGGGCGCCGCTTCGAGCCGCTGCCCCGCGAGGGGCGGCCTGCCGCCTCGTTTTTTTGTTTGTTTGTTGGTGTTTTTTGTTGTTTTGCTTTTGTTTTCTCCCGCCTGGAGCGCGCTCGGCCGCCAGCCGTGCGCCCGCCCTGGCAGGTCGCCGGGCCGCGGCGACCGATGTATGTATGTATGTATGTATGTATGCATGTATGCATGTATGCATGCATGCATGTATGTATGTATGTATGTATGTATGTATGTATATATGTATGTATGTTTGTATGTTTGTATGTTTGTATGTTTGTATGTTTGTATATTTGTATGTCTGTCTGCCTGTCTGCCTGTCTGCCTGTCTGCCTGTCTGCCTGTCTGTCTGTCTGTCTGTCTGTCTGCCTGTCTGTCTGTCTGTCTGTCTGTCTGTCTGTCTGTCTGTCTGTATGTATGTATGTATGTATGTATGTATGTATGTATTGTAGGTATGTAGGTATGTAGGTATGTAGGTATGTAGGTATGTAGGTATGTAGGTATGTCGATATGTGAAAGAGCGTGTTCTACCGCTGCTGGCGGAAAACCGGGGGGGGTCACTACCGGTTCGAACCCCTCCCCCCCCCCCCTCCGGAAAACCGGGGGGGGTCACTACCGGTTTCGAACCCCTCCCCCCCCCCCCAGCTCATCATGAAAAGGGGGGGGTCACTACCGGTTCGAACCCCCCCCCCCCCTCTCGAAAACCCAGTGGGGGTGCGGACAGAGGTGGGGACGGTGTTGGTGGGACAGTGGTGAGGGGACAGCGGGACAGTGGTGGGGACAGTGGGACAGTGGGACAGTAGAGGGCCGGTAGTGGTGGGGACAGTGGTGAGGACAATGGTGGGAACAGGGGGGACAGTGGACAGTGGTGGGGACGGTGGTGGTGGGGACAGTGGTGTGGGCACAGTGGGAATGAGGTGGAAACAGTGGGACAGTGGAGGGTACAATGGTGGTGGGGACAGTGGTGAAGGCGGTGGCGAGGACGGCGGTGGGACAATGGGACAGAGGTACAGTGGGGACAGTGGTGGGGACAGTGGGGACAGTGGTGGGAACAGTGGGACAGCTCAGTGGGACAGCGGCGGAGTCAGTGGGACAGTGGGGACAGTGGGGATAGTCGGGCAGTGGTTGGGGCCGTGGAGACAGTGGGGAGAGTGGAACCGTGGTGGGAACAGTGGTGGGGACAGTGGGGACAGTGCGACAGTGGTGGGGCACTGGTGGGGACACAGTGGGGACAGTGGTGGTGAGGACAGTGGTGCTGGGAACAACAGTGGAGGATGTGATGCGGACGGTGGTAGGGACCGGGAGTCGTTTGCTGGCGGTGAGTGGGGGGGGGGGAGGGGTTCGAACCGGTAGTGATCCCCCTCCGGTTTTCGAGAGGGGGGGGGGGAGGGGGGGGGGTTCGAACCGGTAGTGACCCCCCCCCGGTTTTCCGGATCCGGGGGGGGGGGGGAGGGGTTCGAACAGGTAGTGACCCCCCCCGGTTTTCGAGGGGGAGGGGGGGGGGGGTTAGGGGAGGGGGGGGTTTTGCCGGGGAGGGGGGGGGGGGGGGGGAGGGTTCCAGCAGGGGGGGGGGGGGGGATTTTCGGAGGGGGGGGGGCGACCCCCGGGTTCCGGAGGAAAAGGTTGGCAATTTTCCACAGTAAAGCTGCGGTGGATCACGCTCTCTCCGATATGTACTTATGCAGTTATGTAGGTATATCTGTATGTATGTCTGTATGTCTGTATGCCTGTAGGTATATATGCATGTATGTATGTATGCATGTATGCATGTCTGTCTACCTGCCTGTCTATCTGTCTGTCTGTCTGTCTGTCTGTCTGTCTGTCTGTATGTATGTATGTATGTATGTATGTATGTATGTATGTATTTCTGCATGCATACATATATACATATGTGTATATATATATATATCTATATATATATATATATTTATATGTATACATACACCTGTATCTATCACTATATGGAGCCCCCCGCAGGGGCCCACCTCATTCTGGCTCTTCGTATTCGTCTCGTAGGGGGCGCTGTCGGCCCTCGAAGGACTTGAGAAGGAACTGCTCTCTTTCCAACTCCGTTTCGCTCCTCCGTGCTCTCCCTCTTCTCCACTTCTCCACCTCCTTCTCCTCCTCCTCCTCCTTCAATAGGAATTCTCTAGTTATGGAATTCTCTCTTCTCTCTGGCTTCCTTAGAATCCCATCCAGATCGAATAGGAATCCCCAGGCTCCCGCCTGCGAGGTCCAAGCAAACACACACAAAACGAGGCTCCCGCCTGGGAGGTCCCAAACAAAACTCTCAAAACGAGGCTCCCGCCTGAGAGGTCCCCAAAAAACCAAAGAAATCCAAGAGCCACCTCTCTCATCCCAGTAAATGTCCCCCAAAACCCAAAACAACCAAAGTTCCAGAGGAGAACTCAGGAAACCGGGGGGGAGGAGGAGTTCTACTTTGTAACTTGTTTTGAAACTTTTGTACTCACGAGAAGGGTGGCTCTTGGATTTCTTTGTTTTTTTTGTTCTCTCAGGCGTGAGTTTCGTTTTGAGAGTTTTGTTTGGGACCTCTCAGGCGGGAACCTCGTTTTGAGTGCGTGTCGCTTGGACCTTCCAGGCGGGAGCTTCGTTTTGAATGTGTGTTGGGGGACCTCTCAGGCGGGAGGCTGATTTTGAATGTTCTTCTGGTACCTCTCACGGGTCCGAATGCCTCATGCAGAGCTCTCCTAAACAGCTGCCTGTCCGTCCGGCCCCCCTCTTTTCTGTCCGTGCCTCCTTGCCTGTTCCTTCCTCCTCCTGCTGTTTGGGTTTCTTCGGCGTTCTTATTGGCACGTTGGCCGCTTGCCGTATCCGGAACTGTTCTGTGCTGCTCGATGTTTTCCTCGACCTTTTGCATCAATAGCCATAACATGTCGGCATGGGGTCGCTGGTTTTTCGGAAGCAATTTTTACAGGGCTGTTATGGGGGTCCAGCGTGTTGGCGTTTTACGTAGACTTAGATCAGATCTCACCCCCCCTGGGGGGGTGCGACATGTGAAATTGCCACCATTTCCGAGGGCGGCTGGGGGGTCCAGCATAGTGATGTCTTGCGCACATCCAAATCATACCTCACCATCCCTGGGGGTCTGCGAAATGAGGAGATGTCATCATTTTCGATGGCTGCTGGAGGACTCAGCATAGTGATGTTCTACGCAGATTCAGAGTAGACTTCACAATCTTTTGGGGGGGTGCGAAATCCCGAACTGTCACCGCGTTGTGGTTTGCAGCGGGGTCCAGTATTGTGACGGTTTACGCAGATTCAGACTAGCTTTGATTGTTTTTCCCGCGGGCCGCCCGAAGACCTGGCGGCGCGCCTGTGGGCGTTTAGCTCTTGCACTGCTAGGTGCAGGAAGGAAGCGGAGAACCTGGTGGGCGAGCTCGGCCTCTTTCCCTTCTTGCACGATCGATAAACAGTTTATCCTTTGGAACGCCAGGGCAATATGGCAGTGGCCGCGCTGCTTGTCCAGCGTGCCGTCGGCAAAGGATCTCATTTCTTTCATTATTTTGAGTCATTTCCCTCGAACGTTTCACTGCTGCTGTCGCGTGAACAGTTCGTTCCCTCTTCCGTCTTTTGCTTGCCTATCTTTCCCACCCCCATTACCTCATTTGAGCCTTCTGCCTTAATCCCCGTCCTTCTGTTGCTTTCCTGTGAGCAGTTCGACGCGCGCGCTGCCCATCTCGCTGATGCAACCAATGACGAATTTGTGCTGCCATCAGCCGTGCTATTCTGGATTACTTTCTCTTGCCACTTAATGCAGATGTGTTAGTTCCGTTGCAGGTTCTTGTTTGAAATGTTCGCGTTGCACGCGGTTGGTTTGTCACCGGGGCGTTAACACATATAATGTAAAACGGACGATTGAACGAACGACTCGAGAAAATACGTAAGTGTGCCCAATAACAGGATGGTACACGTGCGCGGTTTTGTCAACTCCACGGGGGGGGTGTGGAAGGAAGGATGGGAGGCAGAGTGCGTGGGGGTGCAGCGGAGGGCGGCGGAGGGCGGGGGGGGGGACGAGGGGGGATGGGCGGAGAGTGGACTGGGGGCAGAGGGGGTTGCTGGGGGAGGGACAGAGGGGTGCGGAGGAGATCGCTGCCCGCAGGCGCGTCCACGCGCCCGCAATGCTCAAGAACTTCTCGGGCAGGGTGCGCCTGTGAGGGGCCTGGCGGCTGTGCGGGCGCCCCCGCCGCCGCAGGAGCCCGCCCACCCCTGGCGTTGCGCCCCTCCGCGGAGCCCCCCTCGCCTTGGCGCGGGGGGCGGCCCGCCGGTTTCGTGCCGGAGTGCCCTTGTGCGGCCGGGCGTTCCGAGAAAGCAGCGAGGTAGGGCGCGAGCGGCGCGGCCGCCGCCAGGCGCCCGGACATCCGACGTGGTGAACAAGTCAAGATGGAGGGTTATCGTCGTTTTCGGCCTCCAGGTGCCCTCGTTGGGCCCCAGGACCAACAAAAGCGGTTCGGAGTGAAAAACTGGCACTGGGGAACGGGTCAGGACTTCGGAGGCACCGTATTGTATGGAAAAATCAAGGCATCCGATTTCGGGGTCAGTCCAGGGCAACAGTACGTGGGGTATCGAAGGAAGAGACACGATGACCACAGCCAGGATGTCGCGGGATTTTGTAGATGCCGATCTTTTTCATGGTCCATGCCTGCGGTTGCCGATTCGCGGAGCATGTTCCACGAATTGACACCACGCTGGACGATGACCAAGACCGACATTGACGTTTGTGTGTTCAGTCTTGGTCATGTGCCTCGTTTTCTTCCCCTCCAGGGGTAGGTGCAGGGGGAAAGCAGCGAGCCCCAACCACCCGCTGATCGCCCAATTGCCTATCGATCGAAAATCGTTGGCAAACATTGAAAATCGTATGGAGGTCCCTCTGGAGGGTCTTGTCGAGGAACCTATGGAGACTTCCATGGGAATCCGAGTGAGAATCCTGTAGCCCTACCTAGAGAGTCTTCGGGAGAGAATCCCAAGGATGACCATTTTGAGATTCCTCGGGAAAGCCCCAGGAGATACCCTGGCGAGAACCCTACTTCTGGAAAACCGTATGGACAATCCATGCAAGGAGCCGTGTGGAAGGGGACGCTATGCAGAATTCTATCGTGGGGTAACCTGTGGAGAGCCCGATGGAGAATCTGTGGCGAATCAGAAGCCTAGGGAAACTAACTTGCCGAGAGGAACACATGCTCCGCCTCCGACTCTGCCTCATGTCCCAACCCCGCCTCCACCTTTAACTCCGCCAAGCCATCATGCTCATTGCCCTTCCCTCCTCGTCCTTTCCATCATTGACATCACCATCCTCATCGTCCTCCGCCTCACCATCAACATCATCATCACTACCATCAAGCTCATCATCATCACCACTACCACTGGCACCATCAAAATCATCATCACCACAATTACCACTGCCATCATCGTCATCATCATCAGCCACATCCTCATCATCCCTATCATTATCGTCACCGCCAGCATCATCATCATCATCATCGTCGTAGTCACTGCCAGCATCATCAGCATCGTCGTCGTCATCAGCACCATCACCATCACCATCACCATCACCATCACCATCACCATCACCATCACCATCATCATCAGCATCAGCATCAGCATCAGCATCAGCGTCATCATCATCATCATCATCATCATCATCATCATCATCATCATCATCATCATCATCATCATCATCTGCACGGCCACCACCATCATCATCACAATCACCATCACTCTCACCGTCATCATCACCATCTCTACCACTATCATCACCATTAGCATCATCATCACCACCACCACCATCGTCATCATCATCAACATCATCATCAACATCATCAGCATCATCAGCATCATCATTTACGTCATCATCCCCACCATCAGCATTATTCCCATCATCAACATCATCACCATCATCATTATCATTATCATCATCACCACCATCATTATCATCATCAGCGTCATCATCATCCTCACCACCACCATCACCAGTCCTACCACCTTCCACATCGTTACGGTCAACCTCCGCATAATGTCGCCATTTTGTTATATCGTAGCTTTTGGCAAACAGGGTGTGAGTTGATCGAGCACTTTTCCCGTTGCCGAACATCCGTAGTGCTCAGATGCTGCTGAGCGCGCTCGGGCGCTGCTTTCGGCTTCCGCCGCTGCCCTGCTTCGGCCACTTGCGTCTACCGCGGCGTCCGTGATTACCTCTGCTACCGCGGTGACCACCGAAGCGCATGGGCGGCGAAGCTAGCTACAGCTGCCACAGCGCGACGACCGCCGCGCTTGCCTCGACCATGAGCGCCACGACCGTCGCGACCACGACTGGGCTCCATACAGCCTACCGCCAGGACAGCCACCATCGCGATCACCATCACGACCACCGCGCCTGCTTCGCTGGGCCTCCCCCGCCTTCTGCGCTTGGCTTCCCTATCGGCGCTGTGCACCCGTCGTTCAGACAAGCGGTCTCGCCCCAGCGCGGGCCTCATTGGTGGATGCGATTCTGTAGGCTTACGCCAGATCCGCCGACCCCTATATAAACTACTGCGCTTGCGGGACTGCATTTCACGAGGCATGTCCGAATCATGACACGGCGCTCGACATCGTTCTTGTTGCTTCGTTGCTGTTATCGTACCTCTTGGTGCTCTTTTGTGGCCTTTTGGTGGCATCTTAGCCTGTCTGCAGGCCATATCTTGCCGCCTCGAGGCATCTTGGGCCAGGTTTTGGGGCCTCTTGGGGGCTTCCTGGGGCTTCTTGGAGGCCTTTGGGGTTCTCTTGGGTGTCCCTCAGGGCCTCTTGGGGTGTTCTTGAGGCAGGCTGGGGGCGTCTTGGGGCCGAAGGCTCGAAAATGTGCCCTCTAGACACCCTCTGGGAGCCTTCTGGGGGCCCTCTTGGGCTGTCTTGGGGGCTTCGCGGCATGTTTTCCTTTTGAAAGGGAATGGGGCGATTTTTGTTTCTTGGGACCCTCTTGGGACGGATCTTGGGGGCGTTTTGGGGCGTCTTGGCAGCTTCGGAGGCCGTCTGGAGGCCATCGTGGGCGTCAAGGAGCGATATTTCGGCGACTCGTGGCCCACTGGGACCGTCTGGGGAGCGTTTTGGTGCCTTCTCGGCCTGTTTTGGAGCCCTCCGCTCCCCCGTGGCGCATTCGGTCCGGGGTCGGGCCGGGCCCGGGGGGGGGGTCAAATTGCCGGTTTGGGGGTCCCTGGGGGGGGGATTCTGGGGGGAATAATCTCACCCGCCTAGAGACCCACCAGGGGTCGGCGGATGACGGGAAGCGCCCTTGGCGTGGACCGTTTGTTGGTTGTAGAAATTAATGGTGGGGTACGGGCCGCACTATGAAACCACGCTGGCGGATTTTTGAAAAATAGCCGTTTCGCTCGAGACATCCTCCAAACATCGGCCCAAGAAGGGACTCCGAATCGAGATCGTGTTTCGTTGCCGTTCCTCTCCTTTTCCCTCCTCTGTCTTCCCCTGGTCCTCGTGCTCCTCCCGCCACGCCTGCTCGTTGATTATCCTGCTGCTGCTCCTCCACCACTCCTGCTCGTGCCTGTCCTGCTGCTCATCCGCCACCTCCACCTCGGCCAAAGTGCGCAGTCTCTCTTCTTGTTTGTGCATCGCACCACGGGGTCCTTTGGGGATCCAGGTCCGCTAGGGCACCCGTCGGCGGGTAGAGAATACACAATGTAACACCCGAAGGGGTAGGATGTCAAGCATGGTGCGATCGCACTCAGCTTGTCCTCAGCCTCTCGCCTCCTTCCCTCCTCCTCCTCCGTTTGGCTGCGCTGGCCAGCCTTGGCCCGGAAGTGGCTTGAGGCAGACCCAGTAGCGGCGGAATTGGATTCGCGTGGCGCGCCTGGACCCCGTGGCCACCCGCCTTGGAAACGAGAGGGATAAGGAGAAAGGAGGGAACATCGGTGGAGGGACCTGGAGGAGGACGAAGGTTAGCCTCGTCGGCTCTGTTAGTTTTTCGGCCCCCAGTTTGTCCCTCGGAGCTCTGCCGTGGTTTCCGCAGGACTCGGGTTGGGCCTCTTCGGCGCCGATTGCCTCCCCGTCTCTGGCCTGGCCCCCGCTTGCCATCGGTGGCCTCCGCTATCCCCCTTGCTCGCAGGTTTTACATCCTTTACGAGGGCGAGGTCAACATCATCAAAGACAATGTGCAGGTTTGGCGGCCGCCACCCCGCTGCTCCGCCCGCCTCTGCTCTGCTGGTCCGCCGCCGCTCTCGTCTCCCTGCGAAGTCTACGTCAGCGACGCAGAACAAGGGGTTCGATAGTGCGGACATTCGCGCGTTGACTCCCTGATGGTTCGTAGGCGCCCTCGTGTCCAACGTGGCGTGCCGCGCTGGCTGGTCACGTAAGCCACCGCCTAACCTCGCTCTGCCATCTCGTGTAAGACTCGTTTCCTTTCGTCGCTTACGTGGCGAACTGCGGCCCTCCCTCGATCGGCTGTGGGACAAGTCAAACCGAGAGATGCAACAAGCTTTTGTTTGGCGCTCGAGATTTCGTTGCCCCAGGCATGGGGTGCGGGTATAGAAAAGTGAAGCCTGCGCATGTGCTTGCTCACCAGCCAGACTCGTTTTATGAATTGTTTTTTCTCCGCTTGGCCTCTATCGGGGCCTCCTGGGGCTGCCGCGGCGCTCTTGGGCCATCTTGGAGGCACCTTGGCGTCTTATTGAGTCGTCATGGGCCTGTCTTAGTGAAATTCTTCACGCTTTGCGTCTCCCCACCATCCGATCCTCGTTGGACTTACCACCCTGACCTCTGTGTTACCCGACAGGCTGGGGCTGGCGTCCTCGGCCGTTCCCTTGTCCCCTCTTGGACGTTGGAACGTTTTCGCGCCATTTTGGCTGCGCTTGGTGGTCTCGGTGCCTACCTCAGGCCTGCTGGACGCACGTGCATGCCCGTTCAGGGGCTGTCATGGCACCTGGACTGCATCGTCTTCCCTGGACGCTGTCGTGAGCCGCCTGACCCGCGGCCCCGCGCGCGTTAGGTAATTTAGTCGCGTCCGCGGCCCGTTCGCGACCTTCCGCCGCTGGCGCTTCCGCCTGCGGCTGTAAAAAAAAGTCTCCCCACCATCCTGATCAGAAAGCGTGCCCATGATAATAAAGCGGGCAGCCAGGATGAACAGAGAGATCTCTGGGAGCAATGGGTTGGTCTAGAAAGGCCCAAAGAAGGGCCCCCCTGGGGGGCGAGGGGAGGAGGAAAAAGGAGGAGGAGGAGGAGGAGGAGGAGGAGGAGGAGGAGGAGGAGGAGGAGGAGGAGGAGGAGGAGGAGGAGGAGGAGGAGGAGGAGGAGGGGGAGTAGGCAAGCGGCTTTCGTGGAACGCTCTTGGGGCGCTCTTGGGCGGCCTTGGGGCCTTCTTGTGGCTCTTTTGGGGCCCTCTTGGGGCACCCTTCAGGCCCTCTTGGGGCGCTGGAGGGCCTCTTATGACCACCTTGAAGGCTATCGATCCAAAGAG